TATCTATCTATCTATCTATCTATCTATCTATCTATCTATCTATCTATCTATCATCTATCTATTTATCATCTATTGTTGGCATAATGCTCTTGTGAACTATGTACAGTTTACCCTTGTTCATTCAAATGCTGATTTCTCTATCCCACGACATGGTTTTAATCTGGACATTGCCTTGTGGTGTTTATTATGTGTGTGTGTGTGTGTGTGTGTGTGTGTGTGTATTATATACTTATATATTATATATGTACTTATATATTATATAATATATGTACTTATATATTATATATACTTATATATATATATATTTTTATACTTACTGAAAAGCACTGTGCATCTTCCACTGTAAAGAATAGACCAGTTATATTTTTCAGGGAAGTTATTTTCAATATATTTGGCCCGAAGTACAATAAAGTGCAGTTAAAAGAAACTTTATTCTAAACTTCATTCTCAGGCTTCTTCAGCTTAGTTTGCTGCAAAGAATGACTTGTATCTAAGCAAAAACTGAAAAGAGCTGCAGTGTCCAGGGGGCTTGAGCTTAAAAATATTAGCAATGTGGCTTTTATCAGCTCTATAAACAAAAGAATTTTTAAAGCAGTCATAATTTCAAATAGCAGCTCCTGTAACTTCTGCGAGTGTCACCTTCTTCAGAAGTTGCCTCAGTTCAGTTTGCCTCATTCTTAGAAGTCTCGTTAAAATTCTCCACCAGATCTGGAACTTCATCATCATCTTCTCCAGTAGCAAGTGGTGTTTTTCTATCCACAGATTGTTTGGGCAGGGCTTCAGCCAGTCTCCTTAAACTAGTCCGACTGTCTACACCAAGCTGGTTTAGGATGCTGGGAAGCATTTCTGTCAGCTGTTTCTCTCAGCGTGGCCTGTAATGGTGAAGGTGTTTGCTGCCAGAGATGCCTGAACTTTAGATCACTGTTCCTTGGTTTGTCAACATGTTCACCTCTTCAGTGCCCCAGATACTGTTTACCCCTAACTTCTTTAAGAAGAACTGCAGTGTTTTTGTTTTTTGTTTTGTTTTATCACTTGCTGTGACTGTTCTGTGAACCACCTTCTGTCTGTGAGCAGTTCCTTTTCCACCAATGTGCACTAGTGCCTGCAGTTTGGCTAATTTTTCCAGGTTCATGATCGTTTCTTTTATCTTGTGGGAGTGGAAATGGGGCTGCGTGGGGGACTGGGGTTCCCAGTAGGGGCGTTTGGGGCAGAGCAGCTGAGATAAGGTGCACACAAGGGGATGCAAGATGGCAGGGGGTGGGAGGCCAGAAGTGTGACGTTTATTCTAAGCATCTCCTGTCTCAAGTTTGTGTAAACATGCCACCACTTGTTCTCTGTGTTGCCAATAAAGACAACCAGCAAATGTTAAGCAATGCAGAGAACACGGTGGTACATCCTGGTCCCACGTAGGGAGGAGAAAGGTCAGAGTGCAGGTGGGATCCATGAGGAGAAGACTGAAAAACATCAGGAGAAATGAACTGGTCCTAGGATATGACTAAAAAGCAAGCAAAATGTGAGAAATCTGAATAGGAGGAAGCTATACTAGCTTGGAGGTTTAGGATGGAGAAATTAATGTGTAGCACTGTGTTCTAGATTATTTAAATGTAATCTCTCTGTGTGGTTATTTGCGCGTATAACTGCTTTACTAAAATATAAATCGATATTAAATATTAATAATCTTTCAACAATCTATCATCTACCTTTCTATCTATCATCTATATCTATCTATTTATTTCAGGGGCATGCCACCATAAGAGAGTAGAGGGCAGAGGATGTCTTTCAGGGGTCAGTGCTTTCCTTCCACCATAAAGGAACTCAGGTGTCGGGCTTGGTGGAAAGTACCTTTCCTTGCTAAGTGATATATCTCCCTAGCCCCCGGAGGCCATTTTCTTTTCTAAGCCACTGAGCATTTGAGGTGTTTGTTGCCACAGTCTATCTAAACTAATGCAGAAACTGTAAAACACAGTTATAACAGAGGTCCACCATGAAGGGTAATGAGCTATAGGTCAAGTCTCAGTAACTGAGGAGCTCTGGACAGGAAAGTTGACCTGACTGAGGACACCCGTAGAACCGTCCTCTGATGAGGAGATGCACAAACCAAACCTGCCTGCCGGAGGACAGACCTGAAGATGGACTCTTCCATCCCCAAAGTTCCCCTTTCCTTCCTCTAAAACCTGGAAGGCTCCGTGCCACTCACACAGGGCCTCACTTTCACGTCTCCATAGCGCTTCAGTTGTCCTGATTAGAGCAACTCTAATCAGATGGCTGGCTGCTTTTCTCTATTTCCAAACTGTCTCCCTCGGTTCAAGTTTAACACATCATAGTCTCTAAAAGGTCAGGAGCCCTCAAAGTAACAAATGAGTTTCTGTGTAAATAAAATCCCACACTAACCACATGAACAGTTGGCCATCTGCACTCACTCATAACCACCTACACAGAAAAAAAGAAAAGAGAAGGAAAAGCGTGTCTTCCCAATATACTACATCATTTTGCGATTAGGAAGGGTCTCAAAAAGTACTCACATTTAATACTACAGTACTGTACCCATCCTCTGGTTCAGTTCCACTGACAAAGAGTGACTCGGAGCTGAATTCAAACACCCCATGAGCATGGTCGGAGGCAGCAATTGTCACCAGAATCTGCGAAGCCACTCCCAGACTGGCTGCACATACAAGTTCCCACAAATAGAAAAAAAAAAAAAATGTTACTCAGCACTTTACAAACCACCATAAAAGCCAACAAGGAACTATTTGGGGAAAACGTAATGCTTTCCATTAATGGAATACATTCTATCTGCTTTAGGAAGAAAGGTGGACACAAATGGCTGCCACACACGCTTGTGCACCAAGTGCTGCTCAAGCACTTGGAGGTGAATAGGGAGAATCTTTCTTCTTTTTCTTTCTCTATGAAAGAACATTGTCTCCCACAAAGCACGTGAGGAAGGTCTCCCACGACTCGGCTGTCCTCTAATGCATACAAGCCAAACCAACTCTGAACTCACTGAGACAGTGCTTTCCCTGGGACTTTAATACATCCAAAAGCAGAGTCTTGGTTTCCAATGTGCATTACCTCTAAGCCTGCTTTTCCATCAGATCATTATAGATTTGTTTCCTCGGATCCCAAATAATCCCTATCCACAGCAGAAAGATGCTAATGCCTACAGAAGCATTCGGAGTGGGCTCCTAATTGGTATTTTTTAAATTAATGCCAGCAGAAAAGTGCTAAAAGCAACAGCCACAGATAGCAATGGCATGACGTACTGATTGATTAGAACTGAGAGGAGCAGCCTGAGCAGCATGCACCAAGGCCAATATGCAAAACCTGACACTGGGAAAGGAGCAGTGAAGGGCTCAACATGGTGTTCCTTTATAAGGCAGCACTTCTAAGTAGTCTCACTCATGTGAAAGCAACTAGGATAAAAAGCTGGAGCACGTTTGTACATGAATCTATTTCAGAAGAAACCTCTGTTTAATAGCAATTAACTAGAAACTTATTTTCCCTTCATTTCTTTCTGATGTTTCTCATTTGTTTTGATCAAATGATGCATACAAAGATTCATGTTCCTTATTTTACAGAAAATTACTGGGATGGATTTAATCTGAAAATAAAAATGTTCCACTGATCACTTTATAGGTATTCAGAGCCATGTAAAGTACTTTCAACAATTGTTTATTTTTAATTTTAATTTTTTGCATTAAGCAAAAAAAAAGTTATATCCAGGCAGAGACAGCAAACCATGTAGGTTCCACATCATGAGGAGGGCCTGGCCATCATGAGCAGACAGAGGTATAATTCTGTCTCCATCGCCAAGGGGAAATTCTTCCTAAAGCTGCTGTGATGGTTAATGAGTTAAGACACACAAAGGGTCATCTAGCTGCAGAAGATGACGGGAAGTGATTAGTATGGTTATCTCTGAGATGAGAAGCTAAAACAAAACTACTAGTCAATGACTTGGGGCAGCTGCTTACCATGTGCGCGAACAGGTGGGAGGAAGAAATCCACGTCCCCTTCTCCACTACCACTGCCATCAGCCCGAAAGACTTCAGACACTTCACAAGAGACACACAGGGACAGCCCACACAACACACAGCAACACAAGGAGAAATGAAGAACGAATCAAGTAAAAAAGAAAACACAGTAATAGCCACTCAGTGTTGCACATTCTTCCATATGCAGCCTGTTGTTCTGAGTGATGCCATGTAGCATCATGTGTGAACTTATTAAATGTTTCTAGTTTAAGGAGCGCTCCAAACAAATAGTAACTAAAAATCTCTATGTTAAATAATTTAATTTGGAATTTTTCAGTAATTTAATTTACAATAACATAAATCTGTAGCATTTAAAAATATTAGATAATAGTTGTGTATATAATCATATATTTAGACTTACAACCCAGCGAAGGTCACCTTCTCACTAACAAGTAATTTAAAACTAGAGAAGTACATCTGAGATTTCCCCATCCACACATTCAGACCACATATACTGTTCTCAGACTTCACTGCCCACTTGACACAGACATTGTCAGAAGAGTCTTTGACCGTCAACCCACTTTAACTCTGTCTACCCCTCATAAGGGATACCAGCTGCCCCTGGTCAACAAAATACTGTGCTTCCTTAATCTCTCAGCTTTCTCACCTACCAAAGGCACTGCATTTTACAGAAATCTGGCAAAGCTTAAAAAACATAATTAAAATAATACTCTAAAATATATAATGCCTGAGCAATATAGAACTATAACAAATATAAAAGTTATACTTTCATATCTAATACCCCTTATACTCCAACCGTGATTTTGCAAAATAGTTACAAAGAAAGGAAGGATAACGATGAAAAAGAACAGAGAAGAAAATCAAGCCACATTTACCAATATCCTTGATTGACAGGCCCAGGTTAAGGTCTGTCTTGGTTTTTGTCCTTCCCTCAATAGAGACTATAGTAGTTCAGGCGTGAGAACTTGGAACACACCCATGGCCTAAAATCATCTCAGAAACAGAGTGGATCGCCAGCAACCAAAGCTCTGCTCCCATACTGTCTAGAAGCCATAAGAAATAAATGTAAAGTTCAATATCACATATACCTGGAGTAGCACCAAATATCTCTTGAGGCCATGGTTAGCGTGTCCTGTCAACTTTGGAGAGAAAAGACTATGGCACAAGGAGTGCTCTTCTGACCCACAAAGAATTTGGCCCTGCAAGTTGTTCATTTATTACCCAGTCCCTAAGAATGAGTACACAGCAAAGGTCAACATCTACACTGGTTTTCCTCTTACTCTGACCTTACAATTTAGTTCATCTGTCACCACTTCTCAGTAGGAAACTACAAGTGAGAGTCCATCACCAGTCAGTATACAATGCATAATTTAAATGTCTAAGGAAATGTTGCTAAATTCCAAAGTGCCACTATAATGATAAATATCTCAGTCACATCTGCTGATCACAGAATGGGATGCAGGTCAATGCTCAGCGACTTCTCAGGTATGTATGGGGCCTTTGGATTGATCCCAGAACGGCAAAATATTGATTTTTGTTTTTTTCTGCGCCAGAATCATGCTATGCCCTGGCTGGCCTGGAACTCTTGATATAGATTAAACTGGCCTCAAACTCAGAGTTCAATCTGTCTCTGCTTCCAAAATGCTGGAATTAAGGCATGTGATATCACACCTGGCCCGTGATGAGTCCTTCTTAACCAAAACTGGTGACAGTCACTAACTATTTCTCATAAGTGTTCTTTTACGTTGATCTTTTCACTCATGAAACTGCTGTCCTGAGAACTCTGATGAGGCAACGTGAGCTTGTCTCTAGGGGCAAGCGTGGTATTTTTACATGCACCCTTCCAGCATATGTTTTTTTTTGTCCTATACATCCACCAACATGTGGCGTTGTTTATGGATCTGTCCTCTGCTCCCAAGCACTGGCTTGGTTCCCATTGTCTTCACCTAGGTTAGAGGCATGGACAAGCAGAATTTTGCTTACTTACTCATACAAAACCAAGACAATTGCTATAAAAATGGCCGACCTACATTTTGAAAGCTTTCTATACTATGATTTCTTGAGTAAATGATGCAGATGTTGACAAGAATAAGATAATGCCCGGCTTTGCAGTGGGAGGAATGAAAACACTGCCCTTCTTACGCCAGCCAGGGCAGTGCAGTGCCGTGCACGTATGTCACAGCCCACGCAGCCTACCTGAGGAGCACATTCATTCCTCTGCAAGAACACAAAAGTGTGGCTCAACCACGTGGAATAACTAGCCCGGACAGCTTCATGTTACCAGAGAAAGTGTTGCCGTGCATCGAGTTTTAACTGCAAAGACCTTTGCTAATCAGTTTTCTGACTCTCAGAACTAGGAATAAGCTCTAATAGAACCAGTAAGAAATTTCTAAACGAAGGAAAATAGCCTGGTGGTCTAGGGTTGTGAATGTGCAGTTGGCACAACTGCAGTCTGAGTAATTCAAAGGAATCATCGAATTGGCACTATCTGGTGGCCGCATGGTTGGCAGACAAGCAAATGCTCAATATTTATGTGTAACCAATCTTACCTCCTCCATCCGAGTTAAACAACTCAACTTTAAAAGATTTTTCCAGTTCAGGGATGGAATTATCAGTGATGTTAACAAAAATATATTTATATCTCTCTCCTGATTGAAATTCTACTGTGCCAGTAATACTCTGAAACACAAATGAGATTTATCCATCATATTACAATTACTCTGTGAATAAAATTGCAAAATGAAAATGTTTACTATATGCAAATTGTTACTAACTCTGAAATGGGAAAAAGTAAACACATATAAGTAAATATGGAGATGTAAATTCTAAACACACATGCATTTATTATTATTATTTGAGATGCTGGAAATTGAATGCAAGACTTTGCATATGACAGTCAAATGCTCTATCAATTAGATACCTCCCAAGCTCTAACAAATACTTATTTTTCAGTTGAATAAAGTAGGTAGACTTCTGTTTTCTCATTTCTTATTCACCAAAAAAAATGGAGAAAGAAAATAAGAAGTGTTGGCATTCATCCCCAGAGTAACCCTGCTCAATGAACAAATACATCAATAATATATAGATAAATTAAGGTTAAGAAAGATGTGTCTGTACCATCACACATGTACAGATCAAGAAAAAAGAAGGCTCTGTCAATTTCTAAATCCTTAGTACCATATTAAACTGTCATATTGCTGCTCCTTTGATGAAAAAAAATTGATAAAATTGAAAAAAAAAACACATGCACACATAATATCTTTGTAATTTTCTCTTTATCTTGTGGACCTTCTTAGAGATTTTGAAAAATGAAGAATCCTATTTTTACATGTATCCAACCAGTGTAACAAACCACATTATAACAACTACACAGGGACTCCTAAGGATCAGTACAACGTATGGTATAGTAGCTATCCAAGTGCCATATTCTAGTGCAATAAACTGTCAACTTAGACACATTTAAAGGGTCATGAAATAACCAGTGCTTACTTTCTTGATTGATAGATTCCTCATACAATGCAAGACACTTCCAGCCCTCTGTTAGGACTGTGTGCAAAAGCAGAGGTACAAATGCAGCTTCAAAAGGCGTGGTGATAGGCTGAAGAAAGGGCTCAGTGGCTAAGAGCCCTTGTTCTTCCTGAACATCCACAGGTTGGCTCTCAACTCTCTATAACTCTGGTTTCTGGGACCTAAGGCTCTCCTCTGGTCTCAATGGGGATGGCATACACTTGGTGCACACAAACACCATGTAGCCCACAGACTCAGTCTCCAAGGGAGTCCCTAGTAAGGGGAGCAGGGACTGTCTCTGACTGAACTTAGTGGCTGGCTCTTTGATCACCTTCCCCTGAGAGAGGAGGATGGGGAGGAGAGCCTCCCCTATCAGTGGACTAGGAGAGGGGTTTAGGGGAAGAAGAGAGAGGGAGGGTGGGACTGAGAGGAGATGACGGAAGGGGCCACAGCCGGGGTATAAATTGAATAAATTGTAATAAATGATAATAGTTTAAAAATTTAAAGAAACTCCCATACACATAAAATAGAAACAAAACATTCAAAAGTCTTAGTGTTATCTACCTTGTAGTCCCCTGGATTGAATGCTGTCAAGGACACTGTTCTGTATTCCACAGTCACCCTTCCAAGGAGCCCTTGCGCACGGATGACCAGTAGACGGATCTCCCCCTCCTCTTCCTGCACTGTGATGTGTGGCACTCGCCTGCTAGGCAGAACCACCGCGTCTTCAGGCTGAGGAGGCGGCCCTGTGGAGAACTGCAGCAAGCCTAGCAGAGAAAGACAAAGGGCTCTTAGTCAGCTGAGGCGGCCTTGTACAGTCATAGAAAAGATTTTAACATGAGCTAATTAACGTTTGATGCAGAATATTTTTCTTACAACTTTAAAATTTCTTTGATTTTTGAGATTATAATTACGTCATTTTTCCCTTCCTCCCCCATATAACCTTCCTTGCTGTCTTTCAAATTTATAGCCTCTTCATTAATTGTTGTTATTTACATATATGTGTACATATAAAATATATATTCTTAAATACAACCTGCTTAGTCTTTATGTGTTAATTGTATGTAAAGGTTTTCAGAGCTGACTATTTGGTATTCAATAACCAATCTGTGTGCTCTTCCCTCAGAGCGGACTGTGTCTCCCGCTCAGCACTCCTTGGTTGCCTGTAGTTCCTTGTGCAGGGCTGAGGCTTCATGAGAGTTCACCTGTCTCTCTTAGGCATGTCTGTTGGCACCATCCTTGTGCAGCTCATGTTCAAGCAGTCATGATGGTGAGTAAGATGTGTAATCATGTCTTCTAAAAATGCCAAAAGCTACAGCCACAATTGTTTTTAAGCCTTTATAATGTCAAATACTAAGGGTGTAAGAGGGACGTAAACAATAATGCTACCCAGCTTTGATACCTATGAACCACAACAACAGTCACCATGGCACAGTGCTCCTAAGGGTACAGTAGCGGCACACATACCCTGACAGTGACCAGAAGCTCTCTGACGGAACTTAAGACCCTCTCAGCAAAAAAGGAATTATGTCTGGTACTGTGAACCCAGCCAATACCCATTGCTAGTAACGTAGATCTTGGAGGCGAACCTACAACCACCACTTTACTAAACTAGCACAATCCCTAACTACATTCTAAATATGTGTCCTTATACTATATGTAAATGTAGTCCTTGCCCCTCGGGGAGTTAACTTCTCTATGCAATAGACAGAGATTTTTTTGTGATATAGGGTTTCTCTGCGTAGCCTTGGATGTCCTGGACTTGCTTTGTAGACCAGGCTGGGCTTAAACTCACTGAGCTCTACCTACCTCAGCCTCCCTGAGTTCTGGGATTATAGATATGTGCCACCCCACCTGACAAATAGAGACTTTTATAGAAACTACAACCAATCAACAACACAGAATTGTTCCAAATAATACATCTATAACACAAACCCTGAACCTAAGGTTCAGAATCACTGTAGAAGAGGGGGCAAGAACACTGGAAGAGCCAGACGAACATGAAGTTTCCTGTGACTTTTAGGAATGTAAACCACACTGAGAATGTGTTTAAGCATTCATAATGTCAAACATTAAAGTGTTAATATTTCCCTTGTCTGTATTTAAAGCAATTTACATAATACAACTGAACAATCAACAAGAGAAACACTAAGGGAATGTAAAAACTTGTAATAATCAAAACAGCAAGTATACAGAACAAAGAAAAACTACTAAAAGCTGCAAGGGAAAAAGGCCAAGGAACGTATAATGGCAAACCCATCAGAATTACACCTGACTTCTCAACAGAGACTATGAAAGCCAGAAGGGCCTGGACGGATATCATGCAGACCCTCAGAGAACACAGATGTCAGCCCAGGCTACTATACCCAGCAAAACTCTCAGTTATCATAGAAGGAGAAAACAAGATATTAAATGACAAAAATAGATTTCAACAGTACCATCCCACAAATCCAGCCTTACAGAAGATTCTAGAAGAAAAAGTACAACCCAAGAAAGCTAACTAAATTTAGGAAAACACAGGAAATAAATAACTTCACTACAGCAAAACTGAAAGTATTTCCAAACATTTGCTCATATTTGGCAAGTTTCTGGAATTCTGAAATTGATATCCAGCTGTACTGATGGTGCACTGAAGAATATGCAACACTTCCCTTAAAATGTGCCTCTAAATACAGAAGAGACATGCCCAGTTGCCCACCCAGACACTCAAAGAGACCCTTCTTTCAGTCATACAAAGTATTATTTTAAAGTTTTCAATTACTTCAATATTAACACACCAACATAAATATTTTAATTAAATGATTTTTTATAACTATACAAAAGTACTTTCATAAACAATGTCCTACAAAATAGCAACAAAGACACTAGCACTTGAAGAGGCCTTAGGAGTTCTAGCTCAGATTCACTTTTAAGAAGTTCTTGAAAACACCAAGGACAGCAGGAGAAGAGAGAGCACTCATTGCCTCAGAGAGTGGTTTACCATAAGGGTGGTCACTGGCTTTGATGGTGATGTCTGTGGTTTCCTTCTCAGGATCTATGCTGGCACCACTGATGGGAGTTGAACCAAGTTTTCCATCTCCTGGAACTGCAGACACCAATGTCACCCGAAAATATTCATTTAGCTCAGGGATGTCCTCATCAAGAACGTATAGATTCAGCACCTTTAATGCAAAAGCACAGTAGTAATTACCACTTGGGAAAAACAGCCCATTCAATTATACATATGATTGAAACTGCCATTAAACATCACTAATTTCTACACAAACTTACACATTTACACATATACACCTTTGTGGGCATATATAAATAAGAGATCTGATAATATTAATTCCTTAATAATATTTACTTTAATAAACTGAATGTGTTACCCCAGAAATTCATGTTAATATCTTGCTTCCAAGGTAATGGTATTAGGAATGGAGCCTTTGGAAGGAGCTGGGTCTTAACAGAGAATTAATGAATGAGATCACTGTCTTTATGAAGGAGGCCATGGGAAGCTCATTTACTCTTTCTACCAGATGACACAGTACTGCAGGTGTGGGGCAGAGAACGAGCCTCTCCCAGACATCGAGTCTGAAGGCATCTTGCCCTTGGCTATCCTATGATATCAAACTATGAACAAAAGGCTGCTGTTTATAAACTCGACAATGTAAAGTGCTTTGATAGCAATATAAACATTCAGGGATTTTAATATGCATCTGTAACATCAGAACTCAGGAGGCTGAGGCAGGAGGATGACAAGACCAAGACCAACCTTGGCTATACGTTTCAAAAACAGATAAATAAAATATGCAACAATACAAATCTAGGAGATATATCCTCAATTTATATAAATATTATTGTATCAGCATTAAAGAATTTATGAAACTAACATTCAAAATTCTTAACTTTCCTCTTACAGAAAAGGAAAACTCTTTTCTGTATTATAAAACAATAGATACACCTAATTTCACGTACAGTTTAAAATGTTTAAACACTGACAAAATGCTAATCAGTAAATAACTAAACAGAAGATGAAACAGTTTCTGGGAAGCACCCGAAGAAACCCAGGCAGCGGAGCTTACCTCAGATCTCTGCCGAGGCAGGAAGGTGATAGTGCCACTGGCATTGGCAAAGTCATCAACGAGGTAATTGATGCTTTCTGACTCGATCTGTGAGATCATGTAGAAAACACGAACATAGTCCAGCGCTCCCCTGGTGCGCTCTATGACACAGGAAACGGTGGACCCCTCCTCTGTAATCTGTAATTGATCGTAAATGATCTTTAAGTTCGTGGCCATCGATACCAGTGATGAAGTTGGTTTTCATGAGTGATACTTAGTTCAGTGACTTTCCGTGTCTCTCAGCAGCATGGGGACTTCAACGTTTGCAGTGTATCTGAGAGCACTGTCTCCTGCCATGCTTATTACATACAAAGCAAAACCAATGGTAACCTCTTTACTATGTAAGCAGCTCATTCACTGGGAGCTCTTGCCTGCTAGACACAGGGCCAGGCATGATGGATACAAAAGATTTTTTTTTCCCCCAAAACAATGCACAACCCTTCTGTGGAATAAAGGAAGTCCAAAGAAGGCAACAGTCTCATTATATAACAAAATATGAAGTGCAGACAGACCAGATTAGAGCGGAGTAAATGGTATAAGGCTGGACATATCATCAAGAACATTCGAGGAATGGGCATAAAAGCACTGAGACAGTGTATTGAGTGGAGTCATTTGGGATTGATAAAAAACACAAAGGTAAATACTTTAGAACTGTCTAGGTACATGTGGTATAATCCCAGCACTTAAGAAATGAAGACAGAAGATTAAGACTCCGGTGAATTCCAGGCCAGCCTGGGCTACACAGTAAGAGCCTATATCCTAAAATAAACATATAAATAAATACTAAAGGGGAAATAAATGCTTTATGTAGAGAAAACAGAATAAAGAGGACATTTTTGTTCTATTTGGTATCTTTTTAGTGCTTTTGTTATATACACTTCAAAATCATACACATATCTGTGCATAGTTTTAGAAAAGGTAATATTTGAAGTAAACTACTTAAGACAATGATTCAAAGCCACATGGAGCAAGACTTAAATAGATCTGCATCCTTTTCAAAGGGTCTCAGTTTGGCTTTGTTTTTACATTTGGAAACATATTTCATGGGAAAAAAAACTGCCAGTGACTAGAGAGGCAAGTATCTGCCATGGTTTAAGATTCACTGGGTGCTAGCATTAGGGCTAAGGAAAACTGATGTGGACCAGGTCTACTGGTAAGTAACAATGGGAAGATTCTGTAAGCACAGAGATCGGCCAGGACCTTCTCCAGCAATCCCTGAATTCCAAGGAGCAGCAGGAACTCAAGTTGCTCTGAAGTCAACCTGAGGGAACACAAGGGGGAGGAGGAGAGGTCAGCACAGCAGTTCTTTGCTGGCCATGAGGTGCAAATGAAACAACCAGATAAGAGTCCAGGGAGGTCTTAAGTGTATCTTCTAGCAGTCGAATTTTTCCTAAAAACCCTCTCAGAGCAGCCCAACTCTACAGGAGATGTTCCCTAAGTCAGCAACCTGGCTGGGTCTCTCACTAGCCATTCAAATGTATTTTCTTCAGGTGAGATGGTAAAAAGTCCAGTGATTCCTAGGACTGTGTCCTCACTGTCAGACCTTCACATCATATGTGACCACATGATACATGTTACCAACTGGTCAAAACAGGCACCTATTAATCCTCTAGGTGTTGGTGCTGGCAAGAGGTACTAAGAAGGTAAATCCATTGGCTACATCAATTCCCCAAAGAAGGAACTGCTGCTCTGTGGGTGAGATCAACCACTAAATGGTCCACCGGAAAGTGCTGGATGTTGGCCTCTGCTGATTTGCTTATAGGCGGAGATACATCCACAGTTTGTAGATGAGTCTTGGAGCTATGAAGCTTACGCTGTCTTTTTCCTGTATAGCTTCCATCATGCTGTTGCTAATGCCAGGACCGAGGTGGCACAGGATAAGCAAAGAAGTCTCATATTGGCTCCCTGATTGTTGAGAATCAGTTGAAATAGTCCTTCTCAGACTGAGCTCTGATTTCCAGGGTTTATTCACATCGCTCTTCCTCAGACACCCTTGCTTCTAGCCATCTTGATTCTTCTAACTGCCTAGTCATCCAGCTACATCACTAGCATTGCTCAAGAGTGTGCATCCGTTCCCACTTCACGCCGTTGTTTTCCCTCACATAACAAATTGTCCAATGTTGGTAAAATGTTCTTTTAAAATGTATATGCCTTACCCTTGTTAATTCAAATGCTGATTTCCCCACCCCCAACTCTCTGGTTTCAATCCAGATATTGCATTGTGATACTCACTATAAGCATCCTGTCTCAACTCTTGTGTAAACAGGACACAAATAAAGCAACTAAATACAATGTTGTGCAATGGGAGGAGCCAGAGAACAGGAAAGAAGGGAGGAGCGAGATGGCAGGAGATGAGTGGGAAGAGAGGGGCAAGAGGAGGTCGAGGAGAGCAGAGCTGGAGGAGAGAGCCAGACCTAAGAACCAGACCTAAGATTTCACAAAAAGCAAGTATAATGTGGGAAATCTAAATGTTAGAAAACATTAGGAGGTTTAGGAGGGAGTAAATATTGCCCAGCATTGTATTCTAGGTTAACTAAAAACCCAGTCTCTGTGTGGTGATTTGGCTATACAGCTGCTGAGGATTAACAGCAGCATTACCAGAAGATAAACCATTAGTAAATATTAATAATTTTTTACAACAGTCCAATAAGCTGTTTATACTTCTGCCTCTTTGTCCTTCTCAGGGCCCTCTGAAAAGAACAGTAGAAGTATCCTGCTTTCATCAACTGCTGACATTTCAAGCAGGTTCTTTTTTTTTTTTTATCAATTTGTCAAACATATTTTTGTAATAATTAGAGATAAGTTGTAAATACATGCTGATTTAATTGGCTATTAAAACATCAAGAGATGCTTCAAATTGACAGCCATGGAATGAATCTCCAGTTCTAGAGAGGCCAGGATTGAGCTCACAAATTTGGAAGTAAGAGATAAATGCATGGCTTTTATGGCTTCCCATTTGATTTCCTCCAAGGGCTCTGCTTGGCATCTGCACACTGGCAGGATGTACCTGAGCAAATGTGTGATGGGAGGAGTGTGGTCCAGAGTCAGAGGCCGCTTCCCTGTATGCTCATCAACTCTTTCCAGACCCTTCTTAAATGGATCATAATTATTCCTGGACTTGGATGGAAATTTAAAAACCACCATATGTAGATTCTAGTAATACTTTACTGAATACAAGTATTTCCTCTCTTAATATGTAGACACCCATGTATTGTGATAGAAATGCTATGTGAAAATGTCTCACTTTATAAAGAAGAAATCTATACATACTGAAAAGCAGGATTCTTGTGTATCTAAACTTCCAACATGATGGCAATTGATTTGCTCCAATTTCTCATCCAAATTTTATGTTTTTATTTATTATTTGAGAAATCATTACAATATATTTTTGATCATATTTCCCCTCCCCCATCTTTTCCCAGATTCTACCCTCCACCCAACATCATGTTCTTTCTCTCTTTGACAAAAATATTTAACTGGGGCTGGAGAGATGGCTCAGGGGTTAAGAAAGAACCTAGGTTCAATTCCCAGCACACACATGGCAGCTCACAACTGTCTGTAGCCCCAGCTCCACGGGATAAGACACGTTCACACTAATGCACATAAAATAAAATTAAATAAATCATTTAAAAATACTAAACTGAAACAAAACAATAGCAATAACACAAACAAACAACACACACACACACACACGGAGTCCTATTTGTGTTGGCCTCCTGGGCATGGGATCTTCCTTGGTATCACCAAACTTTAATGAGAATAAATTTTTTGTACAACTAAGGTAATAAGCCATTAATTTGGATATGTAAATATTCAACCCTTCCTTTCAGCAAAGGGCAGGAAGTAAATAGATCCAAAGACTTAATGAGAATCGTGTGAGTTTTGTGAGCTTGAAAACATCCTTGTGTGGATTCTGAGAAGGGTTAAATGTAAGGCCACAGACAGTTAGACAGTGTTTTCTGCATGTCTATGCTTTTGCGTTGTTATGCTTTGCAACAGTTTGAATCCTTTGCTGGACTTCACAGAGAGAAATGTTCTAGAGAACTGTTCATGGTGTTTTGGTGGAGTTTTGCCACTTCCTCATGTCATTTGGGCAGAGTCTAATTGCTCCTACTGAACCATTCCACTGCTGCTGATGGGTGTTACTGCTGTTGCTTTGTTGTTGGACTAGTGTCCTGATGACTGAGATCAGTAAATCCCAAAAACACACATTGACCCTTATCAGTAGGAAGAAATTAAAAGGGTGTACAGACCCTTTCCCTACTAATCTCCTACCAAAGGTTGAGGCATATAGGAAGGGAGGCACAGGTGTTTAGGAAGCTTAAATGAAGTAGGCGTTTGAAAAATCTAACCCTACAACCTCCTGACATACTACACAAGTATGTTTAAATACATGCTGTGTGTGAAGTTTACATAAAAAAATGTAATGGCTTGTACTAAATTCAGCAAAGCATATCTTACAAATTTTCAACAAAAGATTCCTGTGTCAGGAGTCGATAAAAACAAATCTCCTGAGATGCTTGACTATAAAAATATACTATTCACAAGTATTATAAAAGAAATGGCATCCTTTGAGGCCTTATTGTTTTAAATACTTCAGTCAAAAAAGATTAAGCAATACTGAGAAAAGGTTCATTACTGAAGTTTGGGGATGAACACATTGTATCGAGTATTCCAGCTCTTCTGTTTGGGTGTACATCATCGACAGAGACTTTCAACTCATGTTTACACTTTTGCCCTCCCGCAGCCTGACATCTGATCCCTGAAGCGGGATGTCTCATAACAGGGTCTGACATTTCTGACACATTTGAAAAAGTTCTGAACTACAGAGTCTAGTTACTGACACAGGAATATATCAAGAGATAGAAAATATATATCTAAAGGTTTCACCTAATTATCATAGTCATCTAAACTGACTTTAGAGTCTTGACAGAAATATTTAGGCCAGTGAATAGATCCACTGCACTCTTCAAAGCCACCGTGAGCAACTTCAACAAATGGTGCTGGTCTAACTGGATGTCTACATGTAGAAAAATGCAAAAGATCCATATTCATCACCCTGCACAAAACTCAAGTCCAAGTGGATCAAAGACTTCAACATAAAACTAGACATACTAAATCTGCTAGAGGAGAAAGTGGATAAGAGCCTTGAACTCATTGGCACAGGAGGAAACTTCCCGAACAGAACACCAAGAACTCAGGCTGTTAGATCTACAATTAATAAATTGGACTTCTTGAAAGTGAAAAGCTTTTGTAAAGCAAAGGACCCTATCAATAGAACAAAAGGGCAGTCTATACACTGGAAAAACATCTTTACCAATCTTGCCTCCGACAAAGGGCTAATATCCAGAATATATAAAAAACTCAAGAAATTAAACACCAACAAACCAAATAATCCAATTAAAAAATGAGATATTGAGCTAAGCAGAGAATTCTAAACCTGCCTAAAACATACCTGATTGGTTGATTAAACAGCCCATACCTGGGCAGGGCAGAATGGGGTAGGCATGGCTAAGGTTCCCAGGCTTCAAGTTCTAGAGAACCACTGGAAACAGAAGGTCTGGAAGAGAGGAGGAAGGAGGATGCCATGTGGGCTGGAAGGAAGGACTCCAATAATGGTATGAAAAGGCCCAGATGAAGAATACAAGCAAGTATCATGGGATTATGTTTAAAAGATAGACCAGATGAGGATGGTTAAAGCAGATGACATTGGATGGGGGCTGGGAGATGGACAGTGAGGTTATTTAGGCAGCGTAGGTAGGAACATCGCCCAGACCAAGGTAAATAAGGCAATCATAAAATCAAACAGGTATCTGTCTCTTATTATTTGTGATAGCAAGTTGGATAATACTGCCACGTTAATTGTAGGGCTAGTAATAACCATTCTATAGCCCAACACTCTCATTTTTAAGAGTCTAGAAGTAGTTCTACCATACGATCCATCTATATCAGCCCTGGGCATATACCAAAAGGACTCTCTATCTATAGAGATACTTGCTCGTCTATGTTAACTGCTACTGTGTTCACCATAACCAAGAAATGGAGTGAGCACAGATATCTGTCAGCTGAGGAATGGATAACGACCACATGTCACATTTACACAATGGACAATTACGTGGCTATTAATCAAAGCAAAATTATGAAAATTTTAAGTAAATGGATGGAGCCAGAAATAATCATTCTCAGTGAGGTAATCCTGAGATTTCACCTCACACCCATCAGAATGGCTAAGATAAAAAAAAAAAAAAAAAAAAAAAAAACAAAAAAAAAAAACAAAAAAAAAAAAAAAAAAAAAAAAAGAAAAAAGAAAACACCCACCAAAACCGTGGGGGGAAAAAAAAAAAAAAAAAAATAAAAAAAAAAAACACACAACATATGCTGGAGTAGATGTGGAGAAAGGGGAACCCTCCTCCATTGCTGGTGGGAATGCAAACTTGTACAATTATTTTGGAAATCAATTTGGCAGTTTCTCATAAAATTGAGAGTAGTTCTACTTCAAGACCCAACTATACCACTTATGGGCATATATCCAAAAGATGCTCCATCGTACAACAAGAACATTTGCTCAACTATGTTCATAGCAGCTTTGTTTGTAATAGCCAGAAATGGGAAACAACCTAGATGTGCCTTAAATGAATAATGGTTAAAGAAATTGTGGTACATTTACACAATGGAATACTACTCAGCTATTAAAAAGAAGAAAATTATGAAATTTGTGGGGAAATGGATTATCAGAAAATATCCTGAGGTAACCCAGACCCAGAAAAACATACATGGTATGTACTCACTTACAAGTGGATATTAGTCATAAAGTACAGGATAACCATACTACAATCCACAGACCTCAAGAAGCCAAGTAACAGGGAGGGCTAAGGGAAGATGTTTGAACCTCACTCAGTAGGGAAAATAAAATAAGACATCAGAAGTGGATGGAGGAAGGGAGTTGGGTAGAAAAGGGGTGGCATAGGAAACAGGAGGAATCAAGTGCAGGGAGGACTGAGGAGAGAGAAATTGGTGAGGGGGGTACTCTGGGTTGAGACAGATACCTAGGAAAACAGAAACTCCCAGGAATCTGTGAGGGAGACCTTAGCTAAGATTCCTAGGAACAGAAGATATGGGACCTGAAATGGCCATCTCATGTAACCAGGCAAGACTTCCAATGGAGGAACAGGAACACCAAACCATGCACAAAAATTTTGACCCAAAATTTGCCTTGTGTACAAGATGCACATGGATAAAGATGGAGCAGAAATTGAGGAAATGACTAACCAGTAACTGGCCCAACTTGAGACCCACCCTATGAGGGATAGACAACCCCTGACACCCTTAATCATATTCTGCTATACTTGTAGACAGGAGCTTAGCATAACTCTCCTCTGAGATGCTTCACCCAGAAACTGACTGAAACAGATTCAGAGGCTCACAGCCAAACATTAGACAGAGCATGGGAAATCTTATGGAAAGGGGGGACAAAGGACTGAAAGAATCAGAGAGGTCAAGGACACCACAGGAAAACCTACAGAATCAACTAACCTGCGCCCCTACAGGCTAATAGAGAGTGAAATCACCAGCCAAAGAGCATGACTGGGACAGACCTAGGCATATATGTAATGAATGTGCAGCTTGGTCTTCATGTGGAACTTCTAACAACTGAAGCAGAGGCTATCTCTGACACTGATGCCTGCCTCTGGATCCCTTTCCCCTAACTGGACAGCCTTGTTGGCCTCAACAGGAGAAGATGCACCTAGTCTTACTTCATCTTGGTATTCCAAGGAGGGTTGATATCCATGGGAGGCCTCCCCTTCTCTGAGGAGAAAGTGAGAGAAGAATGATGGGACGGGTCTGAGGGATGGACTGGGAGGAGAGTAGGGAGGGGAAGTTTTGATGGGGAAGTAATGTGTTGGTACAAGGTTCTTTTGAAATGTATACACCTTACCCTTGTTCATTCAAATGCTGATTTCTCCTCACCCCTCTGGTTTCAATCCGGATATTGCATTGTGATACTTACTCTGAGCATCCTGTCTCAACTGTGTGTAAACAGGCCAAAATAAAACAACTAACCACAATGTTGTACAAAGGGAGGAGCCAGAGGACAAGAAAGGGGAGGAGCCAGAGGGCAGGAAATGAGTGGGAGGAGAAAGGGTGAGGAAAAGCAAGTATAATATGGGAAATCTAAGTGTTAGGAAACTATGAGGGAATGGAGGTCTAGGAGAGAGTAACTATTGCCCAGCATTGTGTTCTAGGTTAAACTAAATAAACCCAGTCTCTGTGTGGTGATTTGGGTATAAGGTGGTTTAGGAATAACAGCAAGCATTATCAGAAGATAAATATTAATAGTAAATATTAATAATAGTAAATATTAATAGTCACAACAGTAAAGTAAATAAATAATGAAAAAAAAAAAAACCACCTGACAACCTTTAGTCTTGTGTTTGCCACAAAAACTAAGGGTGCTACATAAAATTCCAGAGATCTGGGTGTTCCAACTTCAGCTACAATGAGTCCAGTGACAGACAATTTTCTCGAGCTCTACTCATCCTATTTTTTTAATCATTCAGTTCACATATATGTTCACCCAGACCTGCTGGCATCTGGTTGCAGCGCCAAAGGCTCTCCTGTTTCTTGGCAGCCTTCTGTGGACACAGAACTTTTGCTGTCACACAGAACACCTGTAAAGTGGTTTCATGAGATCTCATATTACTAATCAGGAAACTGAGATGATCATGCATCTTTGAAAACTTAGGAAGAACTGATAAGGACTGTACAACAGGCTAATGAATTAAGCCAGCCAAGAAAGTTGGTAAGAAACAATTACAACCAAGTTGGAAGAATCCTAGAACTATTTTAAAATGTTCCCTGTTAGATAAAAGAAAGCATAGTAGAAAAGAAAGCATGAAGTAAAGTTTCATTTTTAATTATTCATACAGGCTTTCAATATGAATCATTTTATATAAATATATGGTACCCAAAACATTAGCCAAATTATATGTGGTACATAATTACTCATTCTTTATAGTGATTAACTTTTAAGCTAATTGCTAAGAGTTATTTGTTCTTTTGTTATTGTTTCTCTCATCTCAATCAGGCAATGTAAACTGTAATATCCCAGGAACAGGGGCTGAGATTTGAATGTGCAAACATGGCTACCACATACAAAAGCTAGTTCAACCCCAGACAAATCCACCTACAATGGATGTTTCACTGTGAAATTCTCCAAGCTCCTTACTTACCTCTGGTATACAAGCTCCAGTGAAGCCAAACAGGCCATTGGCATTGTCACTTTTCTGTATTCTTAGTCTAGCTGTAGTATTTTCCTCAGAAATCTGAGCCCCTCCATACACAGAGACCAGTTTAAGCAAGAATAATTCCTCTCCTTCCTCTTCATTGTCATCTCTTGCAGAAACAATGAATGACTTGTTAGTCTCCCCTTGTCTGAACTGCAGATATCCAGAGATGGGGTATAAATCGTTCCTTGCAGGTGTAGCATGAAGTTCATAGATCTCTTCCGTTGTCAGCTTCCGCTCATAAGCCCTCACATCCTGCATCCGACCTGTGAATCTGTCACTGCCGTTCATGCCTGCCCCAATTCTCAGCATCCCAGGACCTGAAATCAGATATGCGTTTAGATCTACAACAGCCACTATCTCCTATCATAAGCTATATCTGTGATTTGGAAAGAAAGACAATTTTACTGAAATATATGTTAAAGTAAAATTTTTACATAACAAAAAAGTGATCAAATAAATATCATCTTCTATTATGACAAAAAAAAGAACCTGCATAATAATTACTGCTGTGATCTTACACTGTAGTATCTACCCTTAAAATTAAATGATGCCTTTAAAAGTAATTTACATCAGTCTGTAAAAATCATTTGTGGACAGAAATATAAATGCATGCATATATCAACCTATGTATATTTGTGTACTGTATATTTAATTGAGTAGACATGTGTCCTATGACACTTTAAAATTATTTTCTGATCTAACTATGGAATGGGTTAGTCTGTTCCAATTTTAAACTACAAATTACTACTCATAGAGAACTTAAAATCTCTACATGTTAAAAATTCATCTGGAGTTACCTAAAGTGTTGATTCCTGGGGAGTGGTAGTTTCTACAAGCCAAATACATCATTATGTCTGAAACGTAACTGAACGCAGAAACAAAAGTAGTCTTAGGAACACTATGTTCAAGCAGAAAGAATTTGTGAAAATAGGAGCAACACACAGCCCAGCTATATGTGCCATACCTCCATGGTCTTTTTTAGGATTTTGCCAATTAATAGTTTAGCTGGTTTGTTTTTGATTTGGGTTTTCAATGTTTTGTGACAAGATCTCATTATTGCTTCTGGCCAGCAACTTACTACATAGCCCAGATTGGCCTGCCCCTCATGACCCTCCTGTCTCAGTCCCAAGTGAGTAGAGTCCACAGTGAGTTACTCTGACAGGGCATGTGATTTGGTTAAAGGCCAACAAAGATTATCTCTTCAAAGGAAGCCACTGAAATCACCGATTGATCCACTGCCAATAGAGGGGCTGTCATCACAGTTAGTATCTTACCCCAGTCGCTCCTCCGTCTCATGCACATTACCCTTCTCTTCACTCTAACGTACTTTCCCAGACACAGCGAGCTGCTTCTCAGCTCCAGACCTTTGCTGTGCAGAAACAGTTCCCTCCTGACCACTACCTAGAAACAAGTGGTATTCTCACTGTTCCCTTTCTTCCCACAGACTTGTGTAGTGATCTGCTTGCACATCTCTCGCCTAGGACCTGTTTCTGGTTCCCCCAAGCTAAAGCCATTGCACCCTTCATTTCTGGAACAGTACACATAACTTTATCGTGATCTTGCTACATACATGGCTGTGTTAGATAAAAACATAAAGTCATGTTTCAAATTATTTGCTAGCTCTTTTAAAATTCTTTTTTTTCATTGACGATTTGAGGGTCTTTCCAATCTCGTGTGCTAGTTATGAAGCTGATGCTCACCATCAGCGATGGCTTCTCCTTTCAGACTCTTGATGCCTCTGGGCATTGCATTTCCATCCAGATAGAATTCAATTATGCCATCATCTAGGATAATTAAAACATGAAGCCAAACTCCTTCTTCTAAATATTTCATGACTGTGGTCTTGGCAATATATGTAACATTTGATCCAAAAGTTTTATAATGAAGGGAAAGGGCCACATGGGATTCATTTGTTTGAATTTTTACTCCATAGTAGATGCTTCCATTGCCATCATCCTTCGCTATGAGAAAGCCATTTGTGTTGGCATTAGGCATTACCCATGCTGAAAATGTGAAGTTGGCAATCGTGTTGTTCCTGAAGGGCTGGTACTTTGGGTCAACAGTCCCAAATGCACCCTCCTGTCCACTGAAGTACAGGACATCTGTTCCACTGTGGTGATGTCGCATATGTGGCTGCAAATGCACAGTGCTCGGGAAAACTCCCACCAGCAAAAAGTCGATCATTGGTGGTAAGCCAGCAGTGAACTCTCTGGACAGTACTTCCCAGCCAACCCATACCTCACCAAAAACACCCTGTTTTCTCAAAATGGTAAAGTTGGTAATGTAGGACATGTCGTCTTCTGAGAGGACATCTTCGGCCACTTCTCTGTCTAGACACTCTGGGTCTAAGATGAAAACTCCAAACGGATCATCGTTGAATGGAATCATGACTGTCACCTGGAGATTGCTTTCTGCTAGCTGGCCTCCAGGACCTGTAATCAGAAAATTTAGAATCACTAAAAAGCTAGAAATTAAATACATTTTAGTCTAAGAAAAAAAGCAATATGTTTAACAGACAAATTTCTAGTTAAATAATTTAGTCATTATCAGTAAATAATGGAATCAATTTACCACATTTTTAAAGGCAATGTTGTCAAATAACATCCATTGGCATATCATATTAATACTCAGTCACACATACACACTCCAATTTCTATGCTAAAAATGAAAAACAGTGAGATAGAGGAAGCCTCCATCTATAAAAATGAACCTTCCCAAGACCATAAAATAAACATGAAAAATAATAGTTTATGTCAATGGTAGAGCACATAATTAGAACAGAGCCCCAGATTCTGTGACTAAGACCAATGCGTACACAAGAAGAACTAAGTCAGATACAGTGTCACGTGCCTAAAACCACAGCACTCTGGAGATGTAGGAAATAGAATCCAGAGTTTAAGGCCAGCCTGAGCTATACAGTCAGACTTCATTTCAACAGTCATTGGTGGTAAAACATCAGAGAACTGTCCGGATAGTATTTCCCAGTCAACCTGTACATTGTCTCAAAACGGTAAACAGAAAGGGCTGGGGCTATAGCTCAGTGACGGAGCACATATTGATGGACACAGGCTTAGGGTTTGATTCCTGACACTGCACAAACAAAACAAAACAAACAAACAAACAAACAAACAAAAAGCATCTACCAAGAAAGGTACTTTGACATTAAAATTAGACACATAATAATACACTTACTTCACCATCAACTAGATTCTACAAGCGATTCTATTTAAGTACAAACTCTGAAATTTTAGTGGTAACATAAGAGATGGAAAATACCACACCTGAAACACTTATAAGCTTTAGAATTATAATTGAACTCATTGAATTCAGGAATTCTGTCTGGGAAAGCATGGAGAACTACTGGTTTTGCTCCCTCTCCATCTGTGAAGTTAACAGTCCCCGATGTTTCATAGAATTCTTGCCCAGGCTGCAGAGAAGCATTCTGGAACAACTGCCAAGCCACAGAAACATTGCCAAAGTGTCCCCGGTGCCGCAAAATCCTACGTGAAAGCAGAACAAATGTATTTCATGAAACATGTATTTGGTGACTATATCTGTAACCAAAGCATTCTGGGTGCTCTTGAAAGTATATATTTTCTATTTATCTCCAAATTTGCCACCTGGTCCCACTGAGCAACCAAGGAAAGAAAAGACTAGCAAAAATGTCACACAAAATTAAAAAAAAAATCGTAGAATCTCGTCTTCAATGCCAATCAGAATGGCAAATTCTAAGCTATAGTGAAAAGGGAATTTGATAATAACCGACAAGATTTTTCAAAAGGAAAAAAAAAAACTAGTTGTAAGAAGTAACAAGGTACAAGTTCCATGAAGACTTTTCCTGAAGCCTGAGTAGCTAAAGTCGTCCACTCTTGAGAAGATAGAACATAGAAATGGAAGGGCAGAGAGACTAAGTTCTGTTGTGCAGATAAATGGTTCTTATGGCTAATTTTTTAATGAAAGATATTATAGCAGAGCATATACAAAGTTATCATTCATTAATACCATTTAAATTTTTATCTGCATAGATTAATAGTGTTTCAACTTTCATGTGCTTAATGATCTCATTTTGCTGTATCCAGTTTTAGCATTCCATTTCCAAATATACTTACCAAAATGTGTTTGTCTTTCCTTCTTCAACTGTTTTGTCTATAGGCTCCAGAGAAAAAACACCATTTGTGTCATCATTGGCTTCAATTATGACTGTAGCTACTCCATACTCATAAACTACTGTGTCACCTACATTGAACACAGAGAAGTCAAAGTACTTTTCAAAGAAGCTACATTTTAAGAAAAAAAATTTAACATGTAATCATTTCATACACTTAATATAAAGCTACAACTAAAAAAGGCTAAAGAGCGCTGAAACAGCAAGAATAAGGTTTGGTGAGAGAGGCTACCTCACGAAACATGAACAGGATGTGTGAGAATGGCTCCTAACAATGTCCACTGGCCTCCACATGTGTTTGTATGGGTGAGCACACACACAAAAGATTCATGTGTGTGCATATATACTCCTAGTCCATGCACATGAAAAGGCACAAAAATGCTCAACATCCTTAGTCATCAGGGAAATATAAATCAAAACGACTCTGAGATTTCACCTTACACCCATCAGAATGGCTAAGATCAAAACTCTAGGGACAACACATGCTGGAGGGGATGTGGAGAAAGGGGAACCCTCTTCCATTGCTGGTGGGAATGTAAACTTGTACAACAACTTTGGAAATCAATCTGTTGCTTTCTCAGACAATTAGGAATAGTGCTTCCTCGAGATCTGGCTATACCACTCCTAGGCATATATCCAAAAGAGGCTCAAGTACACAACAAGGACATTTGCTCAACAATGCTTGTAGCACCTTTATTCCCAATAGCCAGAATCTGGAAACAACCCAGATTTTCTACATTTACACAATGGAATATTACTCAGCAATTAAAAACAAAGAAATCATGAAATTTGCAGGCAAATGGTGGGATATAGAAAGATCATACTGAGTGAGAAATCCCAGAAGCAGAAAGACATACACGGTATATACTCACTTATAAGTGGATATTAGACATATACTACAGGATAAAATACTAAAATCTGTACACCTAAAGAAGCTAAGCAAGAAGGAGGACCATGGGTAAGATGATCAATCCTCATTCAGAACGACAAATTAGATGGACATTGGAAGAAGGAGAAAACAGGATAGAAGCCTACCACAGAGGACCTCTGAAAGACTCTATCTAGCAGTGTATCAAGGCAAATGCTGAGACTCATAACCAAACTTTGGGCAGAGTGCAAGAAATCTTATGAAAGAAGTGGGAGATGGTAAGACCTGGTGAGGGCAGGAGCTCCACAAAGAGAGCAACAGAACCAAAGGATCTAGACTCAGGAATCTTTTCTGAGTCTGATGCTCCAATCAAGGACCATTCATGGATATAACCTAGAACCCCTGCACAGATGTAGCCCATGGCAGCTCAGTAGTCAAGTGGGTTCCCTGGTGAGGGGAACAGGGACTGTCTCTGACAAACACTCAGTGGCTGGCTCTTTTATCACCTCCCCCTGGGGGGAGCAGCCTTGCCAGGCCACAAAGGAAGACAATGCAGCCAGTCTGGATGAGACCTCATCAGCTAGGGTTAAATGGAAGGGGAGGAGGACCTCCCCTATCCATAGACTTGGAGAGGGGCCTGGGAGGAGATGAGGGAGGGAGGGTGTGATTGGGAGGGAATAAGGAAAGAGACTGTAGCTGGGATACAAAATGAATGGACTGTAATTAATATAAAAAATAAAATTTTATTTAAAAAGGCACTAGAAATAACAAAATCTCACTAGCAATAACCATACCCAGTGGCCAGATCCTATTTATTGAATTATGTTCTTAAAAGCAAGGTTTCCAAAAGAACTGGCTAATTTCAGGATGGTGGCAAGAAAATTACACAATGAACTTGGAACAGTTTGTTATGACAGGAAGTGGAGAGATGATTGAATAATAAGGACGTGTCAAAAGGCAAAGGAGTTGTGCTGAATAGATTACCACTAACCAAATTTCTGTGAAGTAACTATAAATAAATAAGATGGTAAACATCATTTGTAGCAATTATGATTATATTCCAATAAATATCAGTGAAATTTTAGAAGATTTTTTTTAACTTTTATTAATTACGCTTTATTCACTTTGTATCTCACCATAGACCCTTCCTTCCTCCCCTTCCAATCCCACCTTCCCTCCCCCTTCTTCATGCCTGCCTTTCCCCAAGTCTCCTTCCTTCTGATCTTAGTCTATCAGGTCTCATCAGAAGTGGCTGCACTGTCATCCTCTGTGGCCTGGTAAGGCTGCTCCCCCCCTCAGGGGGAGGTGATCAAAGAGCAGGCCAATCAGTTCCTGTCAGAGGCAGTCACTCTTTCCATTACTGTGGAAGCCACATGGACACTGGACTGCCATGGGCTACATCTGTGCAGGGGTTCTAGGTTATCTCCATGCCTGGTACTTGGTTGGAGTATGAGTCTCTGGGAAGACCCCTGTGTTCAAATTTTCTGGTTCTGTTGCTCTCCTTGTGGAGTTCCTGTCCTATCCAGATCTTACTATTTCCAACTTTGAGTAATGAAACACCTACATAATTTCAAGTTAACTAGCCACAAACTTTCATTGATTACCATAAAAAGTAAACTTGTAGATCATCACCTTAATTGTTCCAAAACAAATAAAATGAAGATAAACCAAAATCCTGACAAGGACAGATTAAGAACACAAAATTACTCTTGTGTTATAACCAAAGATAAAATACTTGTGACAAAAAAAAAAAAAAAAAAAAGCCGTCAGGCAAACTCAAATGAGAGATATTTAAGCTTGTGATTTTCCTGATATTACAAAAGTCAAATAAAGATTATGGAATTACTTCAGCCTGAAAAGATTAGAAGAATGGTACTATTAAATGAAATGCATAATTCCAGTAAGGGTAATTTTGCTACAAATGGCCTATTAGGAGAACTAAAGATATGTAAATGGTGACAGAGATGACAGTTTGCACTGATATTATGTTTCTGATTTCGATTTTTGGCTTCATTTCAGGCATAGAGACAATGTAGCTAAAAAGCTATAGACAAATACCCCTGAAACCATGAGCCAACATCCCAGAGTTTTATCACACTGTAATCTAATCTGTACTGCACATGCGGATCAAGGACCACCTTCTTCCTTCCAGTCAGGAAAGAGCAGGGCACAGGGCTCTCCTTGTGAGCAGTTGTAGATTACAGTCAAGGTTAATCTGGACAACCACTTAGCAGTTCATGAAACCACAGGTCAGCCAGGGCTGTTCTTACTTACCTGTTGAATTGAAAAGGATTATATAAAAGAACTCGTCTGTTTCTGGGATTCCATCAGCATTGACATATACAGATAAACTGTGCTCTCTGCTTCCAACCTCAAATACAAGGGTTTCTCCTTTCTCAACAGGAACAAAGTCTCCCTCGCCTCCTGAAGCCTTTCCGTCCATGGTAGCATATTGAACAGTGCAAGCCATGTCAACAGATCCATTTCTGAGAACTGTAAAGTTGGCACTCTCGCCTTCCTGGACCCTCACAACACGAGGCTCTGGAATACACACAGAACAGAAAGACATAAGCCTATTCCAGCCCAGCCTTCAGATCACTCTCATTTCTCCCTGCCATCAACAAGAAAGCCTGCACTGTTTACTCTGCTGCTCTCTGATACAGGGACCCTCTGATTGCCTCCAGTCAGTGCCCTGCTTGCCTAATGTCCACAGTACCCTATCTCTGCCAACTAAACTGTCAGTTTAACAAGCCTCATGTTAAAGGTACGTTCCTTGAATAGAAATCTCTTTTTTCATTTTGACATGCCAATTAGAAAAGAGATAAGATGAATCCATTAACTACATATTACCTGAAGGCTAAGCATAAATAGAATTCAAGAGGCCCAAGATGCTACTATATCAGCAATTTCACTAGCTACCTCTTATAAAAAAGAGCTTTCAGAGAATTAAAAATCTGATTAAGTCTTATAAACAAAACTAAAAGATGCCTCCGGGGTTTTTGCAGTTGTAAAGAAAGCAGTAAAAGGGGGGAAAATGGAGGATTCTTAATTAATATGTCCATTACACATTGCTAGTGCAACAAGTAGACACCCTCAGGAAGAACAGCAAGCCCCCAATCCCCCCAACTCAGGAGGTGACTGGGGGAGTGAGTTCCTCTTGTCTACCCAAAGCAAAGGCCCTGTTAGGGGATTAACAGGAAGAAGCAAAGCTGGCCAAATGACCTCTCTTATTTTCATTTTGTAAAGGCTTAAACTCAAACACTGGACATCAATGAACAAATGAATCATGAAATTATATTTAATCAACACTGATTATACTACAAAAAAGTTCAGTTAATAATCCTTCTTAAATATGTGTTGGGGCTAGAGAGATGGCTCAGTGGTTCAGAGTATTTGCTGCTCTTGCAGAGGACCCAGATTTGATTTGCAAGGCCCACATGATAGCTCATAGCCATCCTAAGTCCAGCTGCAGAGAAACATTGTCCTCTTACGATTTCCACAGGCGCGAGGCATACACACAGTGCACATATATACATGCTGGCAAAGCACACACACACACATAAGATTAAATGAAATGTCTTAAAACATATACACTATTTAATAGGATGGAAACCCACTCAAACAAAATAGCAATACCACCTGCAAAATAAATGGGGTCATCGTTCCTTAGAATCCTCAGGGAGACAGTTGTTCCGTTTCCTGTCTGAGCGCCCCCAGTGGCATTAAGTAGGAAAATGGTGAATTCCTCCATCTCCTCTGGAATCTTTACCAAAATGGTACATACTTTAAGTCAAGTGAATCATACATGTAATTACATTATGCATGTCTGTTATTTGTTTTCCTGACAGCTCAATTATTACTGCTAATATTCATGTTCATGTCCAAGACAAAAGCTTTGTAAAAGTATTCCCATAAAACTCAGACTGCCCTAAAATCATTTCAACATTGTTCTTCCAAGCAGCCATCTTATTGTGTCCAGCGACAAAGTATAATAGGAATACACGTTTTGACTTAAGTAAAAGAAAAGATGGCTATCCCACAGAGCTTATATTATTTCTACAAGAAAATGGTAACCAAGTTACTGTAAGAAAAATAATGTAACAATTGAAACCCTTCGATTAGTACAGAGCACTATAGTTGCTTGGCTGTTAGCTCTCCACTCTGACTTAAAACCTTCACAAAGGTTCCTGAGGAGGTCAAAAGACATCCTCACCTCGGTGTCCTCTAAAAGATGAGATTTCCATTTCTCTGACTCTTAAATCCCCAGGTGGACAATATTTCTCTTTCACAATGTTTGTGTGATGAGCTAGTCTTCTCACCTCACAGAGAAGGATCATTCTGTCTGTTGGGGTCAGTCTCAGGGAAAGGGGAAAGCTTCCCAGCTTTGCCTGGGAAAGGTCCAGTCCCAATCTCAGTGAAGCTCTTTAACTTTCCTGTTAGTTCACGACAACTGTGCTTTGTGTCCTGATGCTAAAGCACGCCATGAGATACCCAGAAGATGGCTTGTCTTCAAAATGCCGAAGGCAGACTAGTTGCTAAATGTCTCCCACAACCCGGAATCCCTGATAGTCATATATGATGAGTGCCTGACCACTATCAATTAAAAGAGTTTTAAAATATAAATGTTTTCAAGGGACTCCTAAATAGCATTGATATCTTGTTTTATTTATATTCCGTAAGTCACACTAACCTCTTTGTCACACAGTGTCACCACAAAATCTGTCACCAAATATTAAGTTATTTAGTAAAAAAGGAATGAAGGAGCTATAAATGCAGAATGCTTGCATGACACACAGAGAGTTTGACCTCCAGTATCACAAAAGATAAACCAAGCAAGTAACACAAAAACGGGATGAGTCAGCAATTACAACAGCATGTGAAAGGCTGTAACAGCAGCACTTACCTCATCTGCAACAGAGTAAACTGTGATATTTTTAAAAGATTCTTGGTCTCCAAAAAAAACAGTTCCTTGCACAGGAAATACATCTTTCGTAAAGTCTGGACTAACTACCCAGGACACACTAACATTACCAAAGTTGCCTCGAGTTCGTATTACACCGTAAACAGCTGAAAAATACACAGATAAACAATAGGTTGAAATTTAAAACAAGCAAGGAAACTTCTGAAATAGACGTAACTAAAAACTCCTCGTCATCAATACCTGCTTAGCATATACTCCAAGGCTGGTGTGTGTGTGTGTGTGTGTGTGTGTGTGTGTGTGTGTGTGTGTGGTGTGGCCTGCTCAATCTACACCATTGCACTATAGAATATTGAGAATCATCTGGCATAGGAAAGGGATTACAATCAATTATGTACAGCTAGTATAAGGTCCTACATGCAGATCCACCAAAGGCATTTGCTGAAAGGTTGATTTGACTTGGTAGGTAAAGTTATTTCATTACCAAACACTGGTTTAAAAAGAAAAGAATTCTCATCCCTTGACACTGCAATAGTTTCTCAGCAGTAACTCTTCGCTGTGGTGTCCTCGCTTTCTGACTGACTTGATTCCCACCCGAGTGTCTCCGTTTATACCATCTTAGCTTAAATCGCACTGGAAGTGGAGTCTTCAGCATCACCACAGTGCTATGTAAGAAATGAAACCAGCAAGCCTAAATATGAGTTTTAAAAGGTAAGTTTCTAAGTTGCATGTCATTTCGAGACAGAATGGAAAACTAACACTATTTGCTCACAATGAATTAAGGAGGCGGTGAGCTGGGTCAGTGGTTGAGAGCACTTACTGCTCTCCCAGGCTCAGTTCACACCCAATCACGAGGCTCACCACCACTAGTGCCATCTCCAGGGCATCCAGAAGCTTTTGGCCTCTGTGGGCACCTGCGCACATGCGGTGCACATAAATTCACACAGGTGCACACAAGTACACACACAAGTAAAAACAATTTTTAAAAATTAAGCTGAAAAGAGATTAACATCCTCTTCAGTGGACAGAAATAAAATATAGCAAACACAGTAATTTACCACTATAGACATCCTCTCCTTTGCTTTCTTTTATTGATATGGTCAAACCATCAGAAACAAATTCTATAAGCCCATGAGGATCGTCGTTTTTCAGGATCGTTATGTTGACAATGGTAGCACTGCCCAGCCTGCTTTCCCGTTCACCGTGGCGGCTAAGGACCACCCAGTAGTGCTCATCCAGCTACAAGGAAAAATTACAAATCAGAAAAAGTTGCAAATTGATGCTTTCACTGCAAATAAAATGTGTATGGGGCTGACAGTGCTAATATGTTCAACTCTTCAGGAACATACATCGCACTGAAAAGACAAAAGAATTGATATTATCCCTACTTTTTAAAAATATCTGCCCATGAACTGAAAGATAGGAGATATAAGTATACATTATACAGAAAGGAAAAAGATGATACCGTTCTAGCCAGTAAGAATTTGGGGCCTTTTCACTGACAATCTATTATTTATTTAAATGACTAAGAGTTAAAAAAAATTAAATTAATTTGAAAGCTGCATGTTATTGCAGTATTAACATATTAGAAGTAAATCTGATTCTCCTACTATGGAACGAAGTAATTTCTTTCTAAAACATAATTTCATAGCAGAGCTTTAGTTCAAGACTATTCCAGTAAGAGTTCAGGGGGCACGGTGGTGCACTCCTGTAATCCTAGCACTCAAGGAAGCAGAGGCAGGGCTCTGTGAGTTCGAGACCAACGTTGTCTACAAAGCTAGTAAAGGAAAGACAGAGTGACAAAGAGAAACCCTGTCTCAAAAAACAAGAAAAACAAAAAAGAGTTCAGTTGATATAAACCACATAAAGTAAAACTTACCATAAATTGAGAAAACTGATCACATAGTCAAGTCTCACATTATTTTCTATTTCTTGTTTTAGGACAAGAATATACTCTTGTAAGTTGAATGAATCGTATTCAGCTTTTTAAGCTTCTCCTTAAATTTTTCCAAAGCTGGGTACTTAATTCTTTCTTATGTCTCGCTGTCAATGTTCAAAGCATTTCTACTCAATATACTGATACTGTCAACCATCCACAAGAACATGAGAGGATTCAGAACGGTACCTCGGGCGTGCCATCGGGTCTTGAGAGCAGGGTGACCGCTACCTCCCTCTCCCCAGGTGTGAATTCCAGCACCCCTGTGTTTCCATAGAATTCGCTGCTCCCTCGGGGCTCCACATGATAGCGGAGGAACTGTTTTACCAGACACCCCCTGGATCGAATAATACGGAGCTCTACAGCGTCTCCTTCCTAAAACAAAGAAAGAAACAAACAAACAAAACATGAAATTTCAACTTCTTCTAAACATTTTTTTGAAGTTATAAATGCAGAGTGAACTTTTCATACTTTTATAGCATAGGGTCCTCTGGAATCAGGAGAAAATTCAAAAACACCTCCAGGGTCATCATTTTCCAAAATAATTAAGTCTCGGCTGGTATATCCCGATTTCAGGACCTCACTGTCCACACTCACCCTTGAAAGAGAGAAGTAAAAACACTCTATTATTCTGAAATGTTCAAGCTTTGAAAACATCATTAGTGCTTACAATTCTTCCAGATAACTTTACAAGTAACTAAGACTTAAACCTTAGAGCAAATTTACATGTACAAAGGTCACTTCACATCAGAACTCTCTTCACTGATATCTCTTCCTGAAACATTTCTGAATTAACTGTATCCTTTTTTGACTGGACTAAACACTGCATAGGTACGCAAAGATTATAGAAACCACTCACAGAAACTATCAAATTCTACAAAGGTTTATGATAGCTATGGAAAGCTGTGCTTTGTAGTCAGCTAGAAAGCAGTGAAACAACTTTACGGCTGTTGGGCTTATGCTTTCCTCATACGTGTCTTCTCAATCTGAAATTTTACTTACATGTGAATTTCTTTGTTTCCTTAAATATGATTATGTTCATTGAGTAAGAATATGTATTACCTGAGCAACTACAAATGTTCAAAATTAACTAAGCACGACCACGACGGTGACCAGGCTCTTATGAATGCCTTTCGTCTTTCCAGTGTTTTCTATATATATCATTTTTAACCTCAAATAACTTTTAGAAAAAAAGAAAATGTAAAATATATTAGAATGAAAGGGATAAAGTGGATCTGAGATGCTGACATGCAATAACAACTAGTGTGTGTGTGTGCATGTGTACATGGACATGCTAGTCTGTGTGCATATGAGTGTGCCTGTGTGTAAATAAGTAGGTGGAAGGATAAACCTTTTATAATTTCTGCTATTTGTGCTAGAGTATAATTAGGATGATCAAAGCTCTGAGATTCAGAGTCAGTTCTTAGCCATGCAAATTGGACTGAACCTTTTCACTTGGACTACCTATTGAACAAGAATGTACTCCTGATCTGATCCCCACATCACAGTAAAGCGGCAGCAGTCCACAGACGCATCACAGGCCAGTGGTCTCTGTGGGAGGAAACATGAGTTAACATGTTTCTCCGTCAGAAGCCAAGCCCCCAACACTTCACATACTAGTGAGCACAGAGGAAGTGATCCAAACGCCAGAACCATCACTTGTGTGGACAGGGCCTCTCTTTCACTTCTGTAAATTCAGTAATTAAAGTAGCTGGTGTCTACGTGAGCCAGGAGACAAGAAAACTGGATGGAAGGCAACATATATGAATCCAGTGTGAGCATTAAATAAGTCAAGTTGTTTTCAGATTTTCTCAAAATATGCTACTCTCAAGTGTGATGCAAACTCTGAAAAATCCTCTATAAAATACAGACATGAAAGCAAGAAACTACAAAGATACACTCAGAAAAGCCACCGATTTCATTTTCTCTGTTAAACAAAACAAACAAAAAAAAAATAGACTCAAAGTATGTCACATCTAAACCATGACAATTATCCTCTAGTATAAACTACAGAGAAAGCTACAATTTAAAACTTTTCACAATATGCGATAACACTCAGTTCTTCAGTGTTTCATTAAATATTTTAAATGTACTCACAACCCAACACTGAGGACCCCAGACAGCCATTGTCACTACAGAATGAAACCTCACACAAACATGCACAGTCAGGTGGACAGGCAGCATTGCTCAAGACAGGTCATGCAGAACAGCAGCTTCATTAAACCATCACTCACGGAACAAAACACCGAGTCTTCAAAACAAGGCATTATTCTGCGCACTTACCCAAAATACACGACAAATCTTTCAGTCTCTACCCTGTCAACACAGAAAGAACCATGGGAAGGGACAAGGGGAGGCAGGGTCACCATTTGGTAAATTCTCACTGCTACAAGCTTACAGTGGAATGATAAAATACAAAATACGGTTAGAGAAAGCACTCTGCACCCAGCCTCCCTGGCTGGGAATTTTGTTTGTGGGAACTGGGCACACTGTGTCCTCTGCCACTGACAAATGCTAGCAAGCCCACTTGTGGAAGATGACCCATGAACAGCAAGCATGTCAAGACCCATTCAAGGCATTCATTTCTCGGCCCCTCCAAAATGCAAGATGCCTGCCAAGTGTTTTGTGCTCAGAAGCCACAGCAGCTGAGCAAATTTCATTCAGCTCTGCTTATAATTACTTACTCACTTTAATGAGGTTTGGAAAAAAAATTCCATTCTCACATCTAAAGCCAATTGCTATTTGAATTAAATCATCAAAACTCTGTAGCAGAGACATCAGTACCTCTTTCAATGCTTGCAGAAAAAATATATTCAAGGGGTCACAAGACATCATCACTTTTAATTATAATTTTAGATCAGGAAATCGAAACACTTTTCCACATCCCCAGTGTATTGCATTTTCCAATAATCTTGAAAGGTACACACCCTTATCACTGATACATAGTTGTTATTAAAGCATATAATTGGTTTTTTATGAACTAACATGAGGACAAATTCTTCTAATTGTAAAATATTAAACAGGAGAGTACTTATAACAGGTGTTATATTGAGGTGTTATTGTTTAGTATCATGTCAATTTTTGTTTATATTTAGATTAAATATGAAATACCTAAGTTTGACCTTAAGAGAAAAATTTTAAATACATCCTAATAAAATATTACTAATTTTGTTGCAATATAATCAAACTAGCATTTTTTTCTTTTGTTATTTTGCTTAAGCTTGGTTAAAACTTTGCAAAACTAAAGGAAGATTTCAACAAAATCACTTTCAAATGGTAAATTTCATTCTCATTTATTTATATAAACATTTCTTTGGAGACAAAAATATAATCAGTTTATTCTTATTTGCATAGTAGTTTCTAACTGAACTAACATTTTGGTGTTCAGATTAAGTGATTGGCTTTATTTTAAAAGAAGCACAATATTCAAAGATAACCCTACAATTTGCTTTTCTCTGTGGTTTAGGCTCAGTTACGCTGGGGGGGAGGCAGGGGCAAAAAGGAAAAGGACAAAGCTTTGAAGAATCTGAGTTAATTCATTTCAAATGTTCTTCTGACAGTTCAAAGACTATAAAGAAGAGTTACTGAATCTGCTGAGGTAGAATTTAAATTATCCTTTAAATATCTCATTGAGATAAGCCAAGCTGACAAGGTTTCTGTCAAATCCCACAGGTTTATAATCCCTGTTCTATTCTCTTTAGTATTCCTTATAACTGCCATTGACGTAATTGTGCTCAAACCTAGATTATTAAAAAAGGCCCATGAAAAAAAATCTATTTCGAATGTATATTTCATTGCCTTTCACCAACTCTTATGAAGTGAAACAGTTTTCCATAAGGCAATCTGTAACATATGAAGACGGTGTCATTTAGATTGTGTGTTTTCACTTTTTGGATTCACTGTTGTTTTACTTCTTTGAAGAAGAAAATAAATGTCTGATTCTAAAGATAACAAAATGAGCAGTAGCCTTTTAATAGATGAACTCTCCGAAGCCTACATTTTGTTCATTCATTTTTTAAAAATATGCTAAACTGTATTTTCCTTCTAGTATCTTCTGTGAGGCTGTATTTGTGGGACAGAGAATAACCTCAATTATATTAAAGATTTAGTTATAAACATATAAAAGTATAACAATAGTATTAAAAGAAAACTAAGCCAGACGTGTTTAATCCCAGCACTCCAGAGGCAGTCTACCAGTGTACATAATAAGTTCTAACCAACCCCAGCCACCACATAGGAACTAATAATCAGATAGAAAATGGTCACAGGATTAAGTATCACCACATCATTCATTTGTGGCATAAAATGCTGCAAATTCAGTCATGAATTTTACTGTTTATAGCTATGAATTGTGCAATGTCCCCCAACCGCAGTGTCATAAAAGATAATTTTGGGTTTGGTTTTTAAAATCATCATCAATTAATCCAATTTCATTTCCTCTTTAAAAAGTATTTTCTAAATTTTTTTAAATAAATAAATAAAACCTAACTAACTTTGCCTCTGTCTTATTTTCTGAATCACCTCCAGGGAAATGCTAAGTAGTTCTTGTGATGGCTCGAAATATGACACATGAACTCATGTAATCTTTTATTCTATAGAAATAATAAGTATTTACTATTTAAATCCCATGCAAAAAGAATGAAGGTTATTCTTTTCTTTTTATTACTTGAAAAAGGTCTAACCTTGGCACTCTTGAAAGGGAAAAGGCGCGAGCTGAGTGTGTGACCTAATGTTTCAGTTTTGCTGTCGCCCTCGTGAATACAACATAAGTGAGCATACTTCAGATTTGTCAGCTACTTGGCACAAATCTGAGACCTATTACTCCCTCAGAGCAAAGCCTGAAGATGAAAGGTCACAAGATATAATTAACCTTCACAGTCAGAGAAAAACCCAGCCACACAACAGAAACATCTGAATAACACTTCTTCATAGTTTTCACAACATATGGGGAAATGAATTAAAACAAAATCAAAATCATTAATCAAATACATAAAGGTTACTGTTTCCTGTATGGGTTCTTACCTGTCTAGAGAAAGGGTTACAGTTTCATTCAGCTCCGGAATGTCATCACCTTTGACAGTAATGTTGATTGTTGTGTCGCTTTGCCCAGATAAAAACACAACAGAGCCATTAAAGGGACCTGTGTCGTCCACAGTCACTGCTTTTGAATTAGAGCCAGAGGGTTTCAAACTCCAGTAGACAGTAGCCTGGCCATCAGTTCCATCACGATGCAGGGGAATGTATACCTTATTTCAAAAAGAAAAAAGAAAAAAAAATTCTAAGAAATATGCTCAAGAGTCACATGAGCTTTCCCCACACATGCAAATGTAGTTAGCTGCCATTGTGTACTCCACATAAACAATCAGGCGGCATTACAAATGCAACTGAAGAAGGAAAACAATAATTTTCAATAAATTTTTTACATTTTTGTTAATCAAATTTATCTACAATATAAACACCACCAATAATGTGACCTTGGAATTTTCTGAATAAAAATACAAATATACTCAAAAAGCTAAAGAGTAGTAAAAAATATAGAACACTGACCATTTACCTATGCAGGCTAGCAACAGTCAGATTATGAGACAAGTAAGCAAAGGAGAGTTCTTAGGAAGAAAATAAACAGACAGATAGACAGACAGACAGATAGATAGATAGATGGATAGACAGATGGATGGATAGATAGATAGATAGATAGATAGATAGATAGATAGTTAATGATAGACAGATCTGATAAGAAGATGATCCTCAGCTATCTGAGAGCCACCTGAGAGACTTAAAACACTTGAAATAGTAAATTCACAGCTTCATACAGTAAGCCAACAAAGAAAACAGTCAATTTTGAAAATATATAAAGTCAAAAGCATTTTGAAAACCAGATCTTCTCTGCCTATTTGTAGACTCTAATAACAAATGAGGAAAACGCTGTTCATAATACTTCGATATGGTACTTTGACAACAAAAACAACTCCCCTCATTTCTGACCTAAAGCTCAAGCCAATTTAAGTCAAATCCAAGTGGGGCTACTTGGTCTCTGACAGACCGTGGTATTCCTAAATGGAAGGACACCTGGGGAGGAGCCAGCTATAGCAGTGCATGCTTGGAGTGGGGAAGAGGGTAATAGGAATATGCTTTCATAAGTTGGGTGCGTGCGTGCATGTGTGTGTGTGTGTACGTGTGTGTGTGTGTGTGTGTGTGTGTGTGTGTGTGTGTGTAATTATTTTGCTAAGGGTCAGCTTGTGACAACTTTACAACCATCACAACTGTTTTCAGCCATAGGAGTCAGATCCACCTTGGAGTCCTCAGTCCCACATGAGGCAGCACTTAGAGAAGACAAAGCCTGAGAAACTGCTCGTGTGTCCACAGCATAAGCACTTGTCACCAGATTTAAAATTAGCTCTCAACTGTCATCACACTGTAAGACCAATCGCTGGTAACAACGTACTCTTACCATGAGCAAGAAGATCTACTTTTCCCTTCAAATTTTAATTAAAATAGTCTCACACACTTCCCTTCTTTCCTTGCCCCCCTCCAGTCACTCCCAGCTCCTCTTTCTAGAAGACCCCACGCCACACCCACTCTTCTTCCATGACTGTATTTGTTACATACACAAGTACATATAAACACAACCTCTCAAGAATAGTAACAAATTATAGAAAAAAGCATCACAGATGCTCAGCAGTTGTTTATTCTAAAGAGCATATAGTCTATTAACTCTACCTGTCATCCCTATATTAAAAAATGTTTTCTTCCTCAGACACATTTAGACACATGAATAGGAAAAGATGTACTTACCACCTCGGCAGCAGAATCTTTGGGTTCATGCAAAATGATTGGAAGGTTGCTAAGAAAGCCAATTTCTCCATTTGCAATGGCTGGGGTAACCAGTAAAGAAATATTTCTGATTTTCCCAAATCTGGGACTTACTGGTGGGATTGGGGGAAATATGTTCACCAATCCCAGAGCTTCCAACTATAAAACACAAACAAAAACAAGAAGAGGTAGGATAGTTGTAAAATTAAGAAAAAATTGGCAGCATAAAATGTCTGAGTAGATACAGTCACAGGTCACCAGTAACTAAGAACATCAAGACCTGCACCATCCTTCATACACCTCCTGAAGTGTCATCAGAGTCTAGTCACTGCTGGTCCACAGGCATGATTCCTGGCTCTTCACCGTATAACTTCATCCCACCTCTTTAATAATATCTGAACATCTCCCTCAAACCCCGTCATTAAAACCAGTTCCTACTGAGCATCTCACAGTGTCACAAGCTCATTTCACAGATGGAGACAGCATCCCTCTTCTCGGCCCTATCGCCATTACTTTTTGTGTATCACCACCTGTTTGCCTACCTTGTCACCTAAATCCAACTACATGACCTTTAAAAGCCAAATGTAAACAATTTCTCCACATTCCTGCCTAGTTCCCTTTGATCCATACATCCAACCTTCTTTATCAGATCTAAGTCACTGCAAGAAGACCATTCAGAAAGTCTCCCATGCCCAGAGCAACCCAGTGCCAAAATAAACGCAGTACAGATAGAATGCTTTGTCTGTCTCTCCCATTTAGTTGGTGAAGATGGTACTCTCCTCTCCTAGAATGGCTCTCAGTTCATCATCTCAAAACTTGAAGGATGCAACCTTAAAAACCAACTAAATGTCCCTCTTCCCTATAAAGATTTCTCAGGATTCTCCAATCACTTTGGGAAGCTCTCCTACTCTCATTGCTTTTAACTTAGCTATAAACTTCACATGTCATTATTTCATCATTTTTCTGACTCAGATTTTTGCTTGTTGCATGCCTGTAGGGATTTTAAAGGCTTATGTCCTTTTCAACTTGTTCCACACTCAGCACAAAGCTTCACTGCAGCATATATGCAATAAATATTTTTTAATTCATCCTTCCAGGACACAGAGATGTACTGCAACTTTCAACATCTTAGCTCCATCCATCCTGTGCAATTGTTTAGTCATTACAGGGCTATAAAAAGAGGAGCTTTTCAGATGCTGAGCCTGATGGCCAACTGTTGGGCAGAGTGAATGGAATTTTATGTAAGAAGTGGGAAATAGTAAGCGCTGGAGAGGACAGGGTCTCCACAAGGAGAGCAACAGAACAAGAAAATTTGAACACAGGGAACTTCCAACCAAGGACTATTCATGGAGATAACCTAGAACCCCGGCACAGATGTAGCCCACGGCAGTTCAGTGTCCAAGTGGGTTCCATACTAATGGGAAGAGGGAATGCCTCTGACATACACTGATTGGCCTGCTCTTTGATCACCTCCCCCTGAGGGTGGAGCAGCCTTACCAGGCCACAGTAGAGGACAGTGCAGCCACTTTTGATGAGAACTGATAGACTAAGACCAAAAAGGAGAGGAGAACCTCCCCTATCAGTGGACTTGGGGAGTGGCATGCATGCAGAAAGGGGAGGGAGGGTGGGATCTGGAGGGGAGGAGGGAGGGGCTTATGGGGGGATACAAAATGAATAAAGTGTAATTAATAAAAAATTTTTTAAAAAAAAAAGAGAGAGAAAGGAAAAAAAAGAGGAGCTTTTAAATTCACATAAGGCTTTTAGCTCCACAAAGCATTTCAAACCTCCAACTCTGCAAAGCATTGAAATGTTGACATGATGCCACTTAGAAACCACAGTAGAGATATGTGGGCTGTGTGGTTTTCCAGCAGTGGACAGGATTCCACTGCTCCCCCATGACTGGAGTACTTTGTGACGAGCGACAAATATTCTAAAGGAAATGTAAATGCCACTCTTAAATGCCGTACATTTTGTCCAGAATTATGTACAAGGCAAAGACATGATGCCTTCCACATTTAGTAAGCACTCATTTGAAGAAAAGTAAAGAGAATTAGACTACAATTCTGCCTAATACTGCTATACAAACTAAGCCAAATAAAACAATGTTTGATTCTTTACTGAACTACATATTGAGTTTACAAAATAAATAAACTGTAAAGACAGATGTGTAGTTTAAACCATTTGCATATAACTTATTTCCAGAGAAAATGAACACATGTACATATAGTCATAGAAGTGTATTCTTAGAAAACAGCACAAAAATAAATACATAGATGCATCTGGATGAAATATTAAAATAAGAGTATGCATTGGTTAGAGGTTAAGGATGTATCTGAAATTCATTGATCACGTGTAAGGAATCACGTGTGAGTTACATGTTGATTCCCAGCTATTCACACCTCTAAGCTGCTAGAACTGTCTAAAACAGCAAAGAAAATATTTTTTTTATTCAAAACTTTCTACAAAGAAAAAAGTGATGTCACTTTAACTACTTATATAATAAAGTCATACAATTAATTCTAGTGTTGAACTTTTGAAAAGTACAAAGGAATGGTATAAAAGATAATGAAAAAAGATCATTCAATGAACCAATCAAATAAGAAATAGTAGTTTTGTAGTCTTGCCTTTTCTGGCCCAGTTCCATAAACATTTGCCAAATGAAGGTGTTCCCTGAATTCATAAGAGGCCATTCTTTGCCTTCACACATTTACTACTGGGACACATCACACCTATAAGTCCAAAGAGCATCTCTGCATCTTCAATCCCTAGTCACACCATGTCACTGAACACTCTAGGGTCTGAGTCACACCATGTCCCTGAACACTGTTAGGATCTTAGTCACACCCTGATGCTGAACGCTCTAGGATCTTAATCAGACCATGTCATTAAACACTCTAGGATCTTAGTGACACCATGTCACTGAATGCTCTAGGATCACCAAGGTCCTCAGGATGCTACGAAAACAAAAACAATGGTTTGAAATATTTGCCATTTAAAATCTGTTTAACACCAACAGCACAGGCTCTAAGAGCAACAATCAATAAATGGGACCTCATGAAATTGAAAAGCTTCTGTAAAGCAAAGGACACCATCATCAAAACAAAACGAATGCCTACAGATTGGGAAAGAATCTTCACCAACCCTTTATCTGACAAAGGGCTAATATCCAATATATATAAAGAACTAAAGAAGCTGAAAAGCAACAAACCAAGTAATCCCATTAAAAAATGGGGAACAGAGCTAAACAGAGAATTCTCTGTAGAGGAATATAGAATAGCAGAGAAACACTTAAAGAAATGCTCAACCTTATTAGCCATCAGGGAAATGCAAATCAAAATGACCCTGAGATTTCACCTTACACCCATCAGACTGGCCAAGATCAAAAACTCAAGTGACAACACATGCTGGAGAGATTGTGAAGAATGGGGAACCCTCCTCCACTGCTGGTGGGAATGTAAACTGGTACATCCACTCTGGAAATCAATCTGCTGTATTCTCAGACAACTAGGAATAGTGCTTCCTCAAGATCCAGCTATACCACTCCTAGGCATATATCCAAAAGAGGCTCAAGTACACAATAAGAACATTTGCTCAACCATGTTTGTAGCAGCTTTATTTGTAATATCCAGAACCTGGAAACAACCCAGATGTCCTTCAACGGAGGAATGGATACAGAAATTGTGGTATTTTACACAATGAAATACTACTCAGCAATCAAAAATGAGGAAATCATAAAATTTGCAGGCAAATGGTGGGATCTAGAAAAGATCATTCTGAGTGAGGTATCCTAGAAGAAAGACACACATGGTATATACTCACTCATATAGTCCTATAAGATATGATAAACATAATGAAATCTATACACCTAAAGAAGATAAACAAGAAAGAGGACCCGGAGTAAGATGATCAATCCTCACTTAGAAACACAAATGGGAGGTGCATTGGATGTAGGAGAAAACAAGTAACAGGACAGGAGCCTACCACAGAGGGCCCCTGAAAGACTCTACCAAGCAGTGCGTCAAAGCAGATACTAAGACTCATAACCAAACCTTCGGCAGAGTGCAGGGAATCATATGAAACAAGGGGGAGTTAGTATGACGTGGAAAGGATAGGAGCTCCACAAGAACCAAATATATCTGAGCACAGGGGTCTCTTCTGAGACTGACACTCCACCAAGAACCATGTATGGATATAACCTAGAACCTCTGCTCAATGTAGCCCATGGTAGCTCAGTAACCAATTGGTTTCCCATAGTAAGGGGAACAGGGACTATTTCTGACAGGAACTCAATGGCAGGCTCTTTGACCTCCCCCCCGCCCCAAGGGAGAAGCAGCCCTGCTAGGCCACAGAGGAGGACTTTGCAGCCAGTCCTGAAGATATCTGATAAACCAGGGTCAGATGAAAGGGGAAGAAGTCCTCCCCAATCAGTGGACTTGGAAAGGGGCAGGGAGGAGATGAGTGGGGGAGGGACGGAGGGTTTGGGAGGGAATGAGGGAGCGGAATACAGCTGGGATACAGAGTTAATAAAATGTAACTAATAATAAAAAAATAATAAATAATAAAAATAAAATGTTTAAATAATTATGCTTCCATATGAGTTCTATCATATGTAAGACCAAAAGCAGACAGGAGGGTGAAATGAACACTGACATGCCACAGACAAAAACATATTTAAATGTGTATTAATAATTACAATTTGAGAGGACATAAGCACCAACTATGATGAATGAGAGCACAAACACCAAAGAATATACAACTTTTATTAAATCCTGAAACACTCAACAGCCTGTTTCAATGACTTACGGAAATTTGGAGAGCACTACCACATGTAAGAACTAATAAAATTGTATGCATCACATTTAACAAAGTCAACGTGAAAAACCAAACAAGTTATGACATATTTTTCACTTTTTTAAAATTTCTAAAAATATAATAAAGCGTGTTTTCATGCCAGTATTCTAGTTTTCAGTTCTTGCTACAGAGAGTTCTTGTCTTAATCATATGCTCCACTCAACTTCACACACTCTGCCATGGGGCCAGGCATCTCACAAAAATGTTCCATAAACCCAGGAAGAAAAAGGCACATTTAGGAGTGGAGGGGTGGTGTGTATGCCTCTAAGAATCTTTACAGTGAGCTATCCTAGGAAAAGCATTACAGC